ATTTCCACTGCCTATATTTAAATTAAAAAGCAGTCAGTGTATAATATGGTAAAATGATGTGTTGAAGAATCTTTGCATCCTGATACAACAATTAACAGAAAATCTTTCTTTTCATCTTTACAATTTAGCTGGTAAGCATAAATTAGTTGATTACAATAAATATTATGAATGTTTGTCATGGAAAGTGTGACAGTTTTTTTATAATTTTAATTTAATATTTTTTACGTTATGCAAATACAGTTTTAACTGGAAAATAGGAGAAACTTGATAGGGTGAAGCCAATGAAAGTAATATGGTAATGTGATTGTCAAACATAATACCATAATGGTTATTAATAAATAAATGGTCACATGATTAATAGTAAGAAAGAGAATTAAGGCATCAGAGAGCTGTGAGCTTTTAGAAAATTTATTTTCACAGAAAGATTACTGTATGGTAGTTGTTATTTGTGTATTAACTTTTAAATATGTTAATTAAGGATGTTTCTTCAAATTTTTGTGAATTGTATTGCAGTTGCTTCACAAATAATATTCAGATATGAAGTTTATACAGAAGCAACTTCCAAATTAAAAACTGTTGATGGGTAAAGGAAGAATTTAAAAGCTAGATATTTATGACTAAACAGAATTATTAAACAATGATATTTGGATAAATGTGGATTGGATAATAATACTGATGTTACACAAAATTTTCTTGCAATATTTAATTTGAAAAGCTTAAGAACAATGTCCAAGCTTTTAGTTACCAGATAAATGTAAAAATCTAAAATGTGACCATATAAGGGCAGGTTAGGTGAGATTATGATCACCACCATTACCTAAAACTGCCCAAAGTGGAGCTTTCCTCAGCAGAATAGCTGATGTTGTGTTTATTGTACATGGAGACCCATATACTTCTCATTTCCTGTTGTCTGATAATGGATTTCCTTTCTGGACTCCAGTCCATTGGTGGGTGACTTGCTTCTTTGCTGAATGGATCAATCAGCAGGTCATGCAGTGCTCCATCATGACCTGCTAGTGAGTTGGATGCTGGTTACCTCTTGTAAATGCTCTTCCTACTCACAGTTTGCCCCTTTTGTATGGTTTGTGGTCCACTTTTGGGGAGTGCGGGCTGTGAATATGGACACACTTTCAAAACTGATCATGGGTATGCGGATTGTGGGCCTATGCATATTTTGAGCAGATTGGTGCTTGTTCTGCTGGTGGTTTTCAATGGAGCACTATATTTGACTTTGGTCAAGTGAGTATCAGAGGGTACACACCCTGTATCTGCTTCCAGGTTCTTTGGCAGTTAATTGCATATATTCCTGTTAGCTCCGGGGCCATTGATTTATATAGTGCCTTAACTTGTTAGACTCCATTATCCATTAGTGAGTGGGAGGATGAAGAGATGACGTTATATTTTTTTGTTAATGATTCCTTGTACTTATCCTAGGATTCATTAGGCGACCAAGCAGTCTGAGAATTGTGTTGGGAACTTGCCACTCCCAATTGGTTCAGTTTATCTACCAATTTGCCTGTTTGCAATTACCTATATGTAGCTTCAGATGTTCCTTCAGTATTTAATGTCGTGTAATTTTTTTTTAAATTTCCAGTTGTGGCACTCCTGTTCTTGTAGCCCATGCTGTTGTTCTGCCACTGTTTGCCAAAATAATAGTTTTGTAGTATCATTCAGCAACTCTTCATTCTTAGTTTGTAACTGTTTCCTCTTACTCTCCCTGTTGATTTCTTATCACTTCTTTGTGTTCATTAATATTCTTTTATGGAGTCACCATGTCTTATCTTTTTCTCCTATCAGCCAGTGAGGGCATGGCTAATATTCTCAGCCTTTCTAACTTATTTTTTCTGTTGCATATACCAAACTTTGGTTTAACATTTGTTGCGAGCAGTTTTTGGTCAGTGTCACAGATTCCTGAGACAGTCTTTTGTCATTAGTGTTTTTGAAGTTCATCCGAATCTGTACTGTGCACAGAATACATGAAACATTTTGAAGAAAGAAAAACTACTTGTGCAGGGTTTGATTAATCTCAAAGATACAAAGACCACCTTCTTATGTGGGGCCAGTACATGGGAAAGCATTAAAAACAAACATTTAATAAAACCTGGAAGGCAGAATGGGGCTAATTGGGCTAAAAATGGTTGGGAGTTCTTGATACTAGTGGTTTGAGTAGATAATTTGTATCAAGAAGTTGATAGTTTGTATTCCTAGTGGTTTATCAAACCCCACACAGAAAGTAGTTTTCCAGTTTTTATAAACATTGTTATACAGGTACAGTATACATGTTGTGCCATTTGGGCAGAGGTATTGATCTTGGCATATAAAGCAACAATTGTTTTATCAAAGTAGAATGAAAATTCCTTGTTGCAATACAGTGGAACCTCGGTTTTCGTCATTAATTCATTCCAGAAAGTCTGACAGAAACTGAATTCGATGAAAACTGAAGCAATATTTCACATAAGAATTAATGTAAATCCAATTAATCCATTCCAGACACCCAAAAGTATTAACAAAAAATATATTTTATAGAGAATAAGTGTAGTTTTACATACAGAAAACAATGAGAAATAAATATAAAGGACTAATGAAATAGATAAATGAACATTTAATATCACTTTTACCTTTATTGAAGACACTTGTTGGCGTATGGAAGGTGCAAGGAGGGGAGAAGGAAGAGAGGTTATTGGAAGGGGAATCCCCTTTCATAAGGACTTCAGGTATTAAGTCCCTATCTGGGGTTACTTCCCTTCTTTGTCTTTTACTGGCACTGGACCCGTTGCACAAAAAATCTGTCCAGAGAGGTCTGTTTTTGGCGTCTCTAAGATTTGCCTAAAATGGGACAAGGCATTGTCATTGAACATGTTGCAGACACTACTTGCAACAGTTTTGTTAAGGTGATATTCCTCCACAAAACTTTGCTATGAGTTCTTTCTTGAATTCTATCATGTTTCTCGCCTTCTCTATCAAAGGGCTGACACTCAGAACTTTCTTTGACCCCATGGTGGCTTATTTAGTAGTCGCACTCAATAAACAAGCACAAAAAACAATGGATTATTTCGAAATGTTTCGGATGAATGCGCAGGGTAATGCTCACTCAATGAGAAACAAAGCCAGACTGACTCAGAACGCGTGGGATGCTTTGTTTGATATGGCGGACCAACAAAAACCAAGGCGATAAACAAAAACTGGGACAAAATTTTGATGAAAAAAGTCATCAAAAACCAAATTTGACAAAAATCATGGCAAAGAAAAACCAAGGTTCCACTGTAAGTGTTAGCATCAGTAGCTTTGCTAATAATAGGCTTTATTTCTCTCCTAAGTCCAAGGAACTTAACTCATTTTTTCTGTATGTTCTTCACGTCAGTTAGTACTAATTTATATTACATGCTAATTTTCAGAAATATAAACTGCACAATAATTGGAAATATACTGTATATACACACATGTATAATGTATGCAAATGCAGTAGACCATCAGTTAGACTGTGATTAAATTGAAAGATAGCAGCTGAAAATTATATCATGGGTAACAGCAGTATTGTGCTCCATAAATTATGAAATTAAATATGCAATATATGGGTAGTTCCCAGTATAATTTTCTCTTGGGCCATGAGAAGAGTGCCTGCCTTAGCCTCTGGAAATCGAGTCACTAAGCAATGAGCAGTACCCCAGTCATGTCCTCTGGACAGTATTATTCTTACTGTTTTCTCAAATTCGTTTAAGTTGTGCATGTTTTAATTTATGTAATGTAAAACACCCTGCCTTGGTGGGATATGGCTGGTTTGTTGAAATAAAACCTGTATAAAAAAAAGCTTGAAAGAATATTCAGTTCCTTAATAGAAGAAAGCTTCATTGGCATTGCTCTGCACGTACTGTCAAGTCGCACTGTTAGTCCACCATGTCTTAATAGATTGTCCTGTGTGTCAACAGTCATGCAGGATTCACTTCTGGCATTTACACTGCCCAAACACACATTAACTGTCCTCCTCTCTGAAAGTCCCACCTTGGGTGCAGAATCTTGAACTTTTCAACAGAAACTACTTATTGCACCAACTATGATTTAAATTCTTCTCTCACACTAACCCTTACCCCTCACATGCATGTAATTATTATACATCCTTACACCATATTTATATACCTTCCTCTTTATCATATATTGCCCTTCTGCTCTAAATTTCCAAGTCAGTTCAACAACCCTTCCTCAGCCCCTTGAGTTATACTTTTTGGTAACCCTATACCTCATCCCCAAACTCAGAATTTCTAGGTAATATTGCCACCACATATCACCCTAAACCATATCACTGCCTCCAATATCTAGCAGTGTTCAAGACCCAGGTTCATGTTAGTACCACTATAGTACATTGGCACCAACATGCATAGATCTTAGAAAATAAGACACTTTAGATATGCTATTGCTTATGATCTCACAATATTACTGGGAGCCCAAGTTGGTAGCTCAATCCATATTTCCCAGGCAGGCTTGACACAGCTTGGCTGTCTGTGGCCTAGTAAGCCCCTAACACTAAATAGTCAGCTGATGCTGCCTACTACTATTGGGCATGTCAAGGTTTATCCTATGGTATATGATAAACCTTGATACACCCAAGCTCAGTCAAATAGGCTTACAGTAATCCTCCCTGCATTCTTCAAATGTTTCCAGTAATGTGTAACAATGTAGGGTAAGATAAACTATTATTTTTGATGTTTGGCATTTTTGGAGGGTTGTGGAATGTAACCCTATTTTTTTTCATATGTTCTTCAGTTTAGCTGGTGCTAAATTCAATTACTCTTGGATTTTCGGGATCATACCCCTCGTGTTAATTGAGGTCTACTGTATATATATACCTACATGTACTGTACATATATATGCATACCTATAAACATGCATGCATATAGATATACACATGTACATATATGCTTTCATATACACATATACTGGTATATACAAACTAGTTTAAAAAAAGTTATACTTCATTAATTTTTAAATGTTTTTTTTTTCTCTAGGCATATGACAACAAAGAATCTTGTGTACGCAAGGCATCTGTGTTTTGCATGGTGGCTCTACATAATGCAGTTGGGGAGGAAGCCATGCGACCGCACCTTGAAACTCTGACTGGTTCTAAGTTAAAACTTCTTAATTTATATATCAAGCGTGCAGAGACACAAAATTCTGGAGCATCTTCTCCAAAGTCTGAGCCTCCTATGTAATATATTATAAAAAAAAAGAGGAGGTTGTGATTTAGTGAGATGGATGTGCATAAGTTCGGTCTTACAGAACAGCTGAATGATCCAAGTATCACAAGACTGTCAGTCACAGATATACTGAGAGAGGGAGAGCAAAGGGCAAAGGGAAAGGAAAAGTCTGTGAGCTAAATTTACAGTCAATTGATTTTCACGAGTGTAGAGAATCAAATATGCCAAACAGTGAGCACTCATAAATACAGCATAGGTGTACACAATTTTATATTACAATGAAAATAATGTGATGTTCATGACAAGTATGGCACAAAATTTGAAGTAAAATTATGAATTTTTGTGACTACCATGTTTGAAAGGGATAAAACTCCCTTCTTTGGCAAGAGTGACTCTTCAACACTGCAGTGCCAGGTGGTTCTACCATAGTTTTATGATTAGTTTTTACTGACCTATTTGCTTACTTGGCAATCTTTGTGTGATAGATTACTTTGTGAATACTGATAACATAGATATGGCTTTTCCTGGCAAAGTGAAATATTATAAACCAGTTTTAGAATGTTAAGGAGCAGCCTTCGAGCAATTTTGATGCATATGTGCCATTAGGGGTGCAGCTCATGTTAACTAAAGGAGATTACACTATTACTTGCTGCCTATCTTAATTTTCTCCTGTATGGTGACTCTACTGTAAGAACCAGAAGATGGAGGATATTCAATGCCAATATGGATATGATTATTAACAATAGTGTAACTCAATATTAGGGGCTGGGAGCTAGTCAATTGTGCTTGAAAGTGACATCATGATAGTCTTGTATGACTTTAATTATTTGTAACCCCTTTAGCTGACATATGATACTAATGCAATTGGTTTTTACTGGTCTCTGTGACAATACAGATGTTCTAAATCTTGTTGAATGGTTGACCTGGGTCTGAACAAAGCTGGCTGCAATGCATGACCTAAACAATTTTTTGTTGCAATAGTTGAGTGAGCAATTGTCTGGGGCTAGTATAGATACATGTCTGGGGCCCACCATTCCAGTTTCCTGTGTGCCTGTTGTGGCTTGATGTGAATGATGGCTTGCCTTGGGCTAAGCTTATGCTGGAATGTATGATATTGGTATGTTTGTAATATATTTCATGTACATAAATTTTTTTTGGTCAAGGATTCTAAATCTTAATAATAATGGTAATTATTTTTTTAAAATACAGTATATCAGATACGTTACTTAACACTCACCATCTCCATTGATTAAATGTTTTTTCAGAATGATTGTGCTAACAAACCTTGTTAGGGATCATCAAGTTTTGATGTAAGTTTGTAAGCAATTCACATTTACCCATAATTACATGTTCAGCAATTTTGAGCTGCAGGATGTTTGTTCCTCAAAAGCACAAATTCATTCGCACTAGGGAATTTGAGCTTAACCCAGCACTACATAGTTAATTTGTTATAAATGCAAAACCAACATGTGATAAGGCATAAAACACACTAAACTTGAATTTGAAAACTCACATGACAGATCAGTTTGTATAGTTCTGGTTACTCACATATGATGAAATATAAAAAATCTTAACTGTGTTACTGATGCTTTATTATGCTGTAGAGCTTTTAACAGATCAAAGATTGAATTTACACCCATCTTTATATCTACTTAAAACATATGTATTTGGTATCATTAACTTAAACATTTTCTACAGTATTTCATTTATGTTTACCTAAATTATTATTATTATTATTATTATTATTATTATTATATGATCATATTGTATTCACAAAATGCTAAACCCATGTGGGCCATTCAGTGCTGCTATTCTAAAATGCTATGAAAACATGTTCTACTAAAAAACCTAGTGTTTTAGCTACAGAATGTTTTGTAAATTAAAATTTGTTAAATGACAGTTGGAACAGCTTGCTATTGCTGAAAAGTTTTGGGGCAGCCGAACTGTTTCCTCCACCATATACCAAAAACTTCTATTTCAACAGTAAAAGCAACTTTAGTTTTGATGTATTAAGTTTTGAGATTTTTTCAGCTTTAAATTTTTTAATCATTGGTACTTGAAGATAGAACTTTGGAATGTATAATGGATTGTGATGTGTGATCTATGATCTGTGGTTGGAGTGCTACTCTTCTTACATTGTGAATTACTTTTGTGTTATTTATTAAAAGTATAAGCTTTAATCGAGGCCTCACATCTGTGGCTCATAACTGCTGGTTTTGTCCTATTTTCCATTCATGTTAAGGCTGTATATAATGATTTATGTGCCAATGAGTTCTCTTTTTTCTATAATTGTGATACCTCTTTTTGTTGGAGTGTGATGTATGGAAGGTGGTCAAAACAGCACTAAATAATCCCAAAGTCATAAACTTGTCTTTCATTGGTTGCATAAAAGGTAGTTTGTGTAATTAACACATGATTTGTGGGGAAAACTGTGACCATGGTAATTATAGTTGCATTATTTTGGAAAAAGCTTCATAACCAATCTTGGCATACTAATATTACAATATAATATACTGTCAGATTTATTGCAACCAGTAGTTCATACCAACCTCTAATAAAAATATACAGAAGGCTTATTAATATTAGTAGACAACTTACTGAAAGGTATGACTGTTAAAGAGGCATTCAAATTTTGGGATGGTTATCATTGATGATATTAAAACTTACCTTATATGCAGTTTCTCTTAATTGAATCCTACATTTATGTGACTTGCCAGTCTCAACAAAATTCTTGTGTTGATTTAAAAATTCAGCTTTCTTTAGATTTATTTGCAGTTCTTATTTAGAATGTCATGTTAAGGTGCATAGTTTTAATCATGTGTAGAAAATGAGCCTTTTTGAAGAACCCATGAGAAAAACAGACATCACTTTGATTTTAAATATGTTGCAGGAAATGTGAGCTTAATGAAAATACAGTAATAGGCAAGTGTGATATGGATGGTGTCATGCTAAGTTGTGTAGGTGTGAGGGATGCTGGCTGCCCCAGGTGACTCCTTTGCACATTCATTATCCTAATAAATCTCATTATAGTTGCTTTTTTTATTTTAACCTTTGTATACAAGGTCTTTGTATTGAAAATTTGCTCATCTATTTTTAATATTACTTTTTAATATTTTTATAATTACCAGGGTAGCTGGTAATTATCAACTTGATGACTTTTAGGATAGTCTCTGAATATTACTAATTTCATAGGATTATATGATAATAATTTATAATAGTATTCTCATTTTTGTATATTTTGTTCATGCTAGTAGCTTTCATTTTTGTTAATTTTATGTTTGATTGTATTTTTTTTTGTTACCAACAATATGGATGAAAAGACAAGTACATACATTAGAACCAGTTTATTGGAGTGACCAAGGCCCCAGGACCAATACATATCCAATAAAGATGGCCTAAGTATAAGCACATATGTTGTCTGTGATTGTTTTTATTGCCAAGAGCACTGATTACTGATCAGTCTACCAAGTCAGTGATTTTTCTGATCTCAAAATTTTCTGCCAATCCAAATATTAAGATGTACTCAACTTGTATATTTGTTTGCAGTTATGTAAGTGAATAAACTTAATTAAGGTTAAAAATGAGTGTAACAGTTTTCTAAGTGTTTTTTTTTTTTTTTTTTTTAAATTGACCACTGTAGATAAACCAATCATTGGAAAGGCTGATGTTTAGTAGTTGCAAAATACACTAGTCAGAAAAAAAATTAACACAAGCTTTCATACCTTCTTGAATTACATAAGTATGTTAATTAGAAGTTGAATAGATGCTGGATAAACAGTTCCTAATCAGTGAAAATGAAAAATACATTTTCACTGCAATGCATTTTTCATTGTGAAGTACTATTGTTGTAAAAACAGTAGGAATACTAGGAAATTGCGAGATTGAAAATAGTGAATAATGTTGAAAGTAACCTATTTAAGAAATGTGTTGTACTTGTAAGAAATGAAAGAAATGATTGCTTTAATTTTCAAGTATTACAGTGAAAGGAAGCCCTTGTGGCTTAGCGCTTCTTTTTGATTATAATACTAATAATAATAATAATACAGTGAAAGGAATATTGCGAGTTGCTGTTAACAATAATAATAAACTCAGTGAAGGCAAGAGGTTGCCACAGTGGAAAAGCCTGTTCCTTAAGACAGTACAGTAAGGCCCCGCTTTACGGCGTTCCGCTAATATGGACATTTCAGATTATGACCAAAACTCGCTATACGGCTCCCCCCACCTGAATCTAATATGGTCACCGTGTGCCACTGGGGTTGTTTACATTCTCCGTGAGCACCACGTCTCTCCATTATGTCTGGAAACTTACCAAGATTTCAAGTATTTTAAAGTTATTTCATATATATACAGTGGACCCTCAACTAATGGCGGCATTAAGTAACGGCAAATTCATCTAACAGCGCTCTTTGGCGTAAAAAAAAAAATGGCTCTACCAATGTCGAAAAACTCGTCTAACAACATTTGTCCCGAACTCGTCCGTGGGGCCGGAGCGCGGCTGAAGCGGGCCCAGCCACTCCAAGACTCCACGTACAGCCAGTGTTTACAAGCCATTTCGGTCGATTCCAAGTGTACCTGCGATATATTTTGTATTATTCCAGTGTCTTTAGTGCTTGTAACTGCTAAATAAGCCACCATGGGCCCAAAGAAAGTTTCTAGTGCCAGCCCTGTGATAAAGAAGGAAAGAAACACAAAATTCACGAAAAACTCGTAGCAAAGTACCAGAGTGGAGGAGGAAGAGAGAGGGGAGAATGTGCCTTCTGCAGTGATTCAGTGATTCTACGATATGTACAATACTTAAGCAGCAGGTATCGATAAAGGCTATAGTACCATCCAGTGATAAAGTGTAGAATTAACAGTGTAGCAAGTAAGTTAAACGAGTAAGTGATAGAAAAACGACACGAAAGTAACTCTCCAATGTTGTTAGATGTGTGTACATCTGTTGAATATATGCTATCCTGCTATCTTCCACTACCCTAAACCTCTGCATCTCCTCCATCAAACTAATTAAACTGACATCTCCAAGGTAAGTGTAAATATAAAAGTGTAAGCATAAAAGTAAATATCTTCTTCTTTCAACGTACCAGCCGTATCCCACTGAGGTGGGGTGGCCCAAAGAAAAAAACTGAAGTTTCTCCTTTTAAATTTAGTAATATATACAGGAGAAGGGGTTACTAGCCCCTTGCTCCCGGCATTTTACTCGCCTCTTACGACACGCATAGCTTACAGAGGAAGAATTCTGTTCCACTTCCCCATGGAGATAAGAGGAAATAAACAAGAACAAGAATTAGAAAGAAAATAGAAGAAAACCCAGAGGGGTGTGTATATATATGCTTGTACATGTATGTGTAGTGTGACCTAAGTGTAAGTAGAAGTAGCAAGACTTACCTGTAATCTTGCATATTTATGAGACAGACAAAAGACACCAGCAATCCTACCATCATGTAAAACAATTACAGGCTTTCGTTTTACACTCACTTGGCAGGACGGTAGTACCTCCCTGGGCGGTTGCTGTCTACCAACCTACTACCTACAAAAGTAAATATATTAAGTGTAAATATAAAAGGACCCCAATGGAAATATGTAAGTCACTCTGATTTTTTTGGGTTATCCTAGGTACTTTACACATGCTGCTATGTATGATAATCTATGTAACTGTATCTGTGTATACCTGAATAAACTTACGTATTTATAAATTAAAATGTAAATATTTCTTATTTATAAATTAAAATGTAAATATTTCTTATTTACAAATTAAAATGTAAATCTTTCTTTCAACACACCGGCCGTATCTCACTGAGGCGGGGTGGCCCAAAAGGAAAAACGAAAGTCTCTCCTTTTACATTTAGTAATATATACAGGAGAAGGGGTTACTAGCCCCTTGCTCCTGGCATTTTAGTCGCCTCTTACAACACGCATGGCTTACGGAGGAAGAATTCTGTTCCACTTCCCCATGGAGGTAAGAGGAAATAAACAAGAACAAGAACTAGTAAGAAAATAGAAGAAAACCCAGCGGGGAGTGTATATATATGCTTGTACATGTATGTGTAGTGTGACCTAAGTAAGTAGAAGTAGCAAGACGTACCTGAAACCTTGCATGTTTATGAGACAGAAAAATGAACACCAGGAATCCTACCATGTAAAACAATTACAGGCTTTCATTTTACACTCGCTTGGTAGGACGGTAGTACCTCCCTGGGCGGTTGCTGTCTACCAACCTACTACCTAGGTAAAATGTAAATATTTCTTATTTATAAATTAAAATGTAAATATTTCTTATTTATAAATTAAAATGTAAATATATCTTATTTATAAATTAAAATGTAAATATTTCTTATTTATGAATTAAAATGTAAATATTTCTTATTTATAAATTAAAATCCTCTTCAAGGGGGGCTCCTTGGCGTGGTGAAGAGGCTCTTGGTCTGAGGAATTAGACCTGTCGGTCTACTTCCTCAGACCGAACCTAATTACCCCCCAATCCCCCGTTCCCTATCCCATCCTCCCCTTTTTCCTTTCCTCCTCCTCCTCCCCACCCCTCCCTTTTGCCCTTCCTTTTTGGCCTTTGGTTTTTTTTTTTTTTTTTTCCACAGGCACACTAGTTCCTAGGTAGGGGAAAGGGTACCCTGGTCCATCCCATTCCGTTGAGGTTCTTGGTGGTGGCGTAGTTTGCCGTGGAATCTGGATTGCCTGGGGATGCCCTGATCCCTCTCCGGTATCCCGGAGGGTGGCTTTGGGTGTCTCTCGGGCGACGGGTGTATCTCTGGAAGCCACCTTTCGGATTCCGGGGGTGGTGGCCGAAGGAGGTATGCTTTGTGGCGGATTTCCGGCCGCCCTCTCTTTTGTCCACCGAGGTAGCTCGGCGATGTGAGTTGCTATCCCGGGGATTGCCGGTTTACTGGCATGAGGGTGGGGTATGGCAGGGGTTCCCCATGCTGATCTGCGCTACTTGGGGTGCTGGGTCCTTGGGCGCGGAGGGGTTTTTCTGGCCCTTTCATTCCCCCCTGGGAACTATCCCCCCCCGGTCCCCCCCTTTTTTTATTTTTTTTTTTATTTTTTTTTTTCTTTCTTTTTTTTTCTTAAAAACAAAAAAAAAAGAAGAAAACCAAACCCAGGGCAGCCCTAGTCCATGAACCTGTCCCCCCCCCGGGCCCCCTTTTTGATACCGAAACCCCGTTCGGGACCCCCCCCCTCGTCTTTGGGACCCTCTTCGGACACCCTCAGCCTCTGTACCTTTTGGGCCGGTGCTTTTTCCCCTCACCCGCTTCAGTACTGACCCCTAAACGACTCCTTCGATTTATCTGCCCTTTCCCTTTTTTCCTCTGCTATCTTCCAGCCTCTCCCCTACGGTGCGGCAATTTTTCGAATCGTCGGCCCTTTCCACGTCAGACCAAACCTGGTCCCACCCCTAAAGAAAAAGCTGTTACCTGCTGAGATCTTCTCCCCCTTTCTCTTCTTCCCCAAAAAGACGACACGCCCTTCACTACCTTTCCCGCTCAGTTTCAGACTGCACAATGGACAAAAATTTCTTATTTAAACGACCGACTTCCTCTACTGCCATTTTTTGACCATAGTTTTGGGCAAGGCCCCCTCCTACGCCATTTTTGGTAAAGATTTTTCTTTTCATGCTCAAGAGCGGTCCCGGCTCGTCACCGTACAAAAATGCTACCGGGTTCAGAGCTTTCTCGTTTTTCCCATATTGTACTTTTCCTGAACTATTGAAAAGCATCTTTCCCCTAATTCTTTTATGGTACCGTATTCCCCCCATACCATAGTTCAAAAAAATTTCCAACATGGGACTGCATTTTTGAAAAATGGAACCCAAGATCTTCCAATCCTCAAGGGTAGACATTTAAATTTTCTTCCTCCCCCGGGGCGGGGGACGATCCCCAGAAATGTGGCTCTTTAACTTTCGACAGCCTGAACTCCCATCCTTTTATGTAGAGGACATGGGTTAAAATTTTAAAAAGGTGATCCCTCACCGCACAGTGTAGAAATTGCTGGCGATTTGGCCATCCACAAAATATTGCGTCT